CTTTAACCACCCTGCTTTTATGTTGTGGGTAATGTCATCCTCGCCCGCCCCCTCCTTTTGAATCATAAAACCTACCTACATGAAACTGTCTTTTCGGGGTACTCTTTGCGCCGTGATCTTGACTTCTACTTCTTCCCTATGCTGTTAATTGTGCCGCTATAGCGGTGCAATATCGGTTCTATCATTGGTCCGCGGTCAAGGGACAAATAGAGTTTGGCAAATGGTGGTCTGGAATAGCGGTCTCGCGACTAGCGGTGCTATTGACAGCTTAATGACCACATTTTGAATTAAAAAGAGTGGCCCCATAATCGCGATTTGCATATAGGCGGTTTTGATGTTAAAAAGGAAATTTTGTGGCTTCTGTTTTGGACCTGCAACGGATTTTATTTTAGTCCAACCATACAAGGCTTCATTTTTCTTATTTTTTGGACTTGGACACCATTATCTTTTTTAAATGAATTTGGACACCATCACTTTGACCTCCAGGCTTTGAATAGAAGTATTCACATTGTTCAATTATTTTATTTGGACTGGACGTCATATTCCTATATACTTTTTATTGAATACAAATAATATGTTGAATTATATATGCGTATATATAATTCTAATTATTATATGCATCGCTATTCTTGGACCGCTGTACCATCGTGATACCCACTATTTTTAAATCACGATTCTGACCGGGATTTCATATTTTGACCGCTGTAAGAGCATAACTTCTTCCTCGTTGTGCTCCTTGCTGAAATTGCACCATAGGTATTCGATCTTAGAGTTACTCATGTAAACCTTGAAATTCCAATGTCGTTCTCCAATTCCAAATTATCATTCTCCTCTCCTTTTGTCTCCGCTACAAATGCAATGTCATATGCAAATAACATACACCATGGAACACTCTAAATTTCATGGGAAATCTCATCCAAAATTACCGCAAATAGGAATGGGCTTAGTATTGATCCTTGGTGCAACCCTATCTCCACTGGGAAATACTTCGTCTCGCCCACTAGACCTGATACAAGTCTGTTCTCATCTACATATCCTGTTTGCTCTGACGTACTTCCATTTTACCCCGATCTCTAGGTTCCTCCAAATCAAGCAGCTAGGTACGTTATGATAGGCTTTTTCCATACGAACACCACATGTAGATCCTTGCTATGCTATCTACATTTTTCTCCATAAGGCGTCTGAGTATGTGGATTGCCTTGATTGTTGACCCCTCCGAACATGAAGCCAAGTTGGTTATAGTCACCTCCGTTTCGTGACCCAATATGACCTTAATCACTCTCTTCTACAGTTTGTCATGGCTAAGTAGTTTTTTACTGCTAAAGTTACCACAACTCTGTGTGTCACCTTCGTTCTTAAATGGCAGCACCACCACACTAAGCCTCCACTCTTCCAGCATCTTAGCAGTTTTGAGAAGACGCTATAAAAATTTGTTAGCCATTGCATCCCCTTCTTCCCTAGCCATTGCCATTCACCCGCTCCTCAATTTGGATCTGGTCAAGGCCAACAACCTTCTCCTTCCCCATCTTCCTTAGTGCCCTCTTCACCTCCTTGCTAATATGCCAACAATAACAATAATTCTGTAATCATTGTTGTCTTCCTACTCCCTCATTGATCCTCTCCCTTCCCTGTTGAATAACCTGTGAAAATAACTAGACCATCTCCCCTTAATGTCCTCATTCTTCACTAAAACGTGCTTGTTCTCATCCTTGATAGATCTTACAACTCCTGTGTCATGATGCTTCCGTTCCCCTTAAAGTTACTTATAGTTGCTCTAAAGAAACAAGGTCAAGATCGGAAGCTTGGCTGCAAATAATGTTGAAAATAATTATTTTAGTTTGCCCGTAGAAGGAAATTAATCAATAAAATATAAATACTTGGTTTGTAAGATGGAGATGACAATGGCCTAATGTGCAAGACACCAAGGAAAAAGTGTCCATGACTTGAATAGTTCTTTCAATCAAAGTTGATAACAAGTGGTAGAAATAAATGTGATTGCTAGTCATGTTTAATGGTGTTACCATGAAGTATATCTCACCATTAGATAGCTATTGTGTAAATAGGCTAGAATGGCAGGTGTGAGCTGAAATAAGAAAAATAAGAAATAGAACTTGTTTATAAAATGATATAATTAGTCTTATTATTCTCACACTATGCCAAATATGATCTTCACATCGATCCTAAAACATGACATCCTTATCAAAGAAGTCTGGACATGATTCATTACTTCATTTCAGCACTAGATAGTCAGACCATATCTTTGTTATGCTTCTTTCTCCCATGTTATATTTCCACTGAAGAAGATAGATTACCCTGTAGTAGAATGCACATTATGAACACATCCTGCATTATCTGTATCTTGTATCTAACTATGTGATAGGTGTTCTCATGATTAGAGCATAGAAGCCCCTTCTTGAGAGTTCCCTTGAGGTATCTTAGAATTTGAATCCTAATGACTCGTATGAGGGGAAGATATGAAGTGGCTGACCATACTCAACAAGAATGCGATGTTAGTTCAGTTTACCCATATATTCTACAGACTCTCAATTGTTTGGATGAAGCTTGGAATTTGAGCCATCGATCAAGCATTCTAATCTTAGCAATGATGTCAAGGACATACTTCATTTGACAAAGAAATATACCTTTTTGAGATTTGACTACTTCGATGCCTGATAAACACTTGAGACTTTGGATGAGAGCAGCAATCGTCATCTGTAATGATTACATTGCTTACATAGAACACCAATCTAATCTCTTGCCATCTTTTTAACAGAAGAATATCAAATAGTCATCCGAAAGATTTCAGAGTAAGAATTGGCTGATATACGGATATCAATACCTTTGGCTAGATTTATCTGGGAGGTCGGGAGAGGAATACATCAATAGACCGGCAACCATCTGTATTTCCTATAATGTAATTGGAAGCATTAGAATCTATAATTCAGGAAATAAGGGTTATGACTTGACAGTGCTGTAGAAGCACTAGGGGCAATTCAAGAAACCATCTTTTTCATTGAACTAAAATATGACATAGAAGCAATATGGATCTTGTGAGTGACAATAACAATGCTTGGTTACTATATCTGGATCGTCTGTCTGTGCCCTACAAGACCAATTTATCATGCCATTGAGTCCTTTACCACCACCTCTACCAGATTTGAGACGATTAGCACGCAGTGAAAGGTCAAACGGAAGTTTTCTTGAATGCTGTCTCAAGACGTGCAAATGCTTGAGCTCATTAACTAGCTTCTTCAAGTGTGTAGTGTTTATGTAAGAGATTGATTGCATTGGGAGCAATGCCTGGAGGAGACTGGACATGCTAATTAATGATGCCAAAGAGCTTTTGGAATCCAACATATTATCACATATCTCGTTCCATGGCACCCACAGAGTATCACTATCGACAAATTCTGAGTTGGTTGTGTGATAGGATAATGAGGTGTAACTCGCTCCAATCTATGATTTAATAGCAAATGATTCTACCTTCATATCCATTTCCAAGGTAGAACTACTGCGTCATTTTTTTATTACCACCCCATGATGATCAACCAATAGACCAAATACCAACCAAGGGGTTAGTTGAGGATAGATAAAAGTAGGTGGATTAAGGTTAGGATGTCTAGAAGTCTCGTTGGAGAGACAATGATGTAATGCAAATGTTCTAGTAAGTTGGTAGAATTTAGTGTTATGCTATTGACCAAACAACCATTATCCAAGATACAACTATATTTATATTTATATCCAAGAAAAATATAAATATAATTGAAGCAACTGAACTGAACTACCTATTTAACACGCCAAGATAAAACCATCCCCGCATATCCTTTCCCGTTCGCATCTTTTGTCTAAACTGGAATATGTGGTGAAAAATAAAAAGATTTTGTTTAATGCCTCGAGGAACTCTTCTTCCTACTTAAAAAAKATTTTTTCGGTATTTTCTTTCTCTTATCTATGAATGAAAGATTATTTAAAGTTCCATAACCATCTTCACTCTAACTCAAGTTACAAATACTATTTCTCTTTTGTCTTGGTACAGATGTGTGTTCCTCAAGGAAAAACTATTCTGGTGATAATTTTTATTTTTATGCCACAAGTAGCTTGTATTTATTAAATTCTTTTTATATTCTCTAGTATCATTGGAGAGGATCTGTGTTGGTATGTTCCTTTTGGCCAAGTGGAACCTGTAGATGGATTGGCGAGCAGCACAAGGAGAAACTGCTTAACTGAACTTCAGGTTATCCATAAGCTCGGGACCAAGGTCATGCACCTGAAAATGCGCATAAACTTTAGGATTAAAACCTGAAAAGGACGTTCAGAAAGAAGAGAAGATAGGGAATTGTACCATTTATCGTTGAGAGCATGTGATAGATGAGATACTTTATGGTATGGAACGGTATACCCCCAAACTTGATGGGATTAATGTGCTGAATCAGTAACTGACTTGGTGCCTTTTTAACCGTTGGTTTCACATAAAGAAAATCACCTTACGGAGAAACAAAAGTAATCCAGCTATTAAAAACTTCAGTGATTTTGTTGATAAACAAAAGATTATGACACTACTTTTATGGGGCCAATACATGGTGGAGCCTTTAGCTATCTTTTCTTGATAAAGAACAGCCTCAGAATAAGGAGCTCATCAAAGTGGGAATGGATCAAATCCTCCCTCCCCAAAATGGACTATTCTGGCCGGGAAGAATGGAATGAGACAATGAGGATAAATTGATCCTATTCCTAATAGAGCAAGATATTTTGACATGATTGCTTATAAAACAATATAGATATCTAACAGTGAATCAGATTGAGGTCCTCCTCACTAGGCTAGAATTGGAACTAAAAGCAATATAGATATCTAGCAGTGTTCATGGAAACCTGCCACTTGTGTAGTCTGAAGGGACTGTCATTTCTTGTATGTTTGTAGTTGAACTAGCTCGGCCACAAACTTATATGGCTTTCTTTATGAATTTTTGTTTACTGAAATGGTTATTCCCTTTTCTTTTCAGTTACCTGGACGTACAGATAATGAAATCAAGAATTTTTGGAACACAAGAACCAAAAGAAGACAGCGTGCTGGCTTACCGATTTATCCTCCTGATATATGCTTGCAAACACTAAATGATAATACGCAAAGCCAGAACATGGTCACGTTCACAAATGGGGACACATCACATGCTGAAATCTTGCCGACGAATAACTTTCAAATCCCAGCTGTGGAGTTCAAGAATTTGGAATTAAGTCACGAGTTGTATCCGCCAAGCTTTCTTGATATACCTGGTGGCAATTTTCTTGATATCCCAGGAGGTAGCCTGCTTCCACAAGGGATTGGATCTTCATGTAATAATAGTTTTCTATTCCCGATGGCACATGCTCCCAAACGTATCAGAAGATCCGATACATATCCTGTCTGTGACGGTGGAGATCTTAATGATTTTTTCCCAAATGTCAATCTTTATCAAGATGACAAACTTGCACAATCATTTGAGATTTCCTCTTCATATAATCAAAACCTCAATGGGGACATCCCATCATCGTCATCCTGCTTTTTTTCTGGCAGCCATGCCTTTTTAAATGGCAACACTTCTTCTTCTGAGCCCATTTCATGGGCAACGAAGCTGGAGCTCCCTTCACTCCAATATTCTACCCAAATGGGTAGCTGTGGTGCACCTTCTTCTCCGCTGCCTTCCCTTGAATCTGTTGACACTTTAATCCAATCAACATTGATTGGTCAAACAAAGTCAGATTCTCCGTCACCTAGGAACAGCGGCCTGTTAGAAGCAGTGCTCTACGAATCACAAACCATGAAAATGTCAAAGAGTAACAACAATTCAAATGCTTCAGTTGTGCCTCGTGACATTACTGACAGTTCGTCTCAGAATTTGCAAGGGGACGATGACTGGGAAGCCTATGGCGACCCCATGTCACCTTTGGGTCATTCTGCTGCATCTGTGTTCAGCGAATATACTCCTCATCTTAGTGGAAGCTCTCTCGACGAACATCAGTCAGTTGAGATCATTTCAGGTGACAACTACCTTTTCATGCATACTATAGCTCTTCTTACATAAAAAAATCAGTATATATGATTTTGTTATATACAAATTCGACATCCAAATTTTCTCTTACGCGACATTTGACAGTAAAAAAACTTGGACAATAGACTGGAAGAGGACAGGACCTGAGTGGAACAAAAATCTGGGAGATGAGACAAATTTGATAAATTACTAAACTACCCATGTCAAATTAAAACACCAAAACCTTCCACATTGTTTCAGTCCAGTCTGCGTGCCAAATGCACCATTAAGGTTTAAGGTAGGTAGTTATCAGGTTTTGCTTAAAGTCGGTTCATAATCCGTTTATTTTTGGAAGTTGAACGGCTTATTGGAACACAAAAACCCAAGTGTTTCTATTTGTATTTTTGAGGAGGTAGTATCTCAATATCAATTGGAACATTATTGTGATTGGTTTAAGTATTTTCTTATTCTTTTTGATGAAATTCCTTTTGTGTTTTTGTGTGGTGTGTAGTTAAGCATGAAGCAGAGGAAGCTATTGCTAAGCAATCTGACAGAGAGGATGAGAAGGCGAACCACCTAAACTATTCCAGGCCGGATTTTCTTCTGGGCTCTAACTGGTTTGGTTCCACTTCAAATGCAGACCGTAACAAAGATCAGTCTGTGGTGAGCGATCCAATTGGTGCGCTTCTTGGTGATGATTTTTGCAGTGACTCCAAGCAAACGTTTCTAGGACACGAATCTGGCAAATGGGATGACATATCTGAAATCTGCAGAGCAGCCGAAAACCGTTAAATGCTAAAAATGACCAGAAAGACTTTGTGCCCATTTTAAAAGACTATTATTTGGTTAAATGTTGACTGGTTTGAAGAGTCTAGGATTTGTGACCCATTCACAGGGTTGGACCTCAGACCCTTTGTTTTCTTTAAGTACCTTGGATTGGATCAACTGCACCTTTGTGATGTTAAAGACAGATTTGGCTATGTTTCCACTAAATATTGATGAATAATGTGCCACTAGAAGAGTTCTATATGGAACTTTGAAGTGAAAACTAGATATATATCATCAGTTTTCTTATTAGTACTAACATTCACTTCAGGAGGATCACGGTAACAACTGTTTTACCTTTTTGATACAAAGGTAAGGTCTGCACATATCTTATCTTTCCAAACCTCATCTCCATGTGGGATTTACTGTTATAATTTGATTTGGTTTTGGATGCTCAGGATTTAATTTCTTTTGTAGAATGTTTCAATTTATGCTCCTGCATAAAATGACCAAAGCACGCTTGAACCCGGTTGCTGTTGGTTTAGCCTCTAGGCTCGGTAAGAACCTAGGACATATATCAACTGCATTTATGCCTGACCTACATCTAGACTTGGGAGATATATCAACTGCATTATGCATGGGTTACATTTAGACCTGTGTTAGTCTTGGTTTGGTCGATTTGTTGTTGCAATCATCAAGAATGATGACATTTATTCCGGTGCTCGAAAAGTTGGTTCTATTTAAGTATCTATACTGTTGAGGCGTACACATCTATAACAGAAAACAAAATTGTAACCTTTCAGCGACATAAGAAACATAGTAAAGTGGGTGTACTGAAATTTTTACCATTGTGAGCGGAACCTTTGAAGTGGATGTTGAATCAGACGGCAAAAATCGGCATGTTGTTTCCACAATATCCATGCAAACAAATTGAACCATTTTCACGTCCAACGTAAAGAGGGGGAGATCCTTTTTTCCTTTGTGTTGCTAGTCACGAAAATACAATGATAACTGTATTTAGAAAAATAGGGAGAAAGAAACATGTATTTTACATTAAAGAGGTTTATAGAAGACTTATTAAAAAAATGTGACTCTTAACGTTACTTTTATACTTGTTTATAAAAACTTATTAAAAATGTGACTCGTTCATGCTTCATTTATGGCTTTTTTATATGAGAATTGTAAGACATGTGACTTTTTAACTCTTTTGTACTTGTTTGTGAAGCCATATTAAAATTGTGATGCTTTACATTAATTATCGAGTTGTAATCTCTATGTATGATCGATCGATGAAACATTGTCATGTTGGTAATAATTTTAAATCTTATAATTTAAAATTATAAGCGAAATATAGTATTACCAATAAATACATCATCATCATCATTCAAATAAAAAAAGATTTGTGACGCAGCGTTGTATCCATTTGGCAATGAAATGCTACCCAGATCCCTAAATTTCATAATTCCCGAATATAATAATTATTGGTGCAAGTGTATGGAAAGATACACTTAAAAATCGTATTGATTTTGACGATAGCAATCAATACTCACTAATAATTGCATTGAATGATGCAATGAAGATGGGCAAGGGTTGGTCCTTTCGAACGTGATTCAATATCTAAAAAAGATTAATGTTGGTTTAGGCCCTTAAAGACCCAACCGATACTATTCTTTATTTATTTTTGTGTCTTCTCTTCATGTGTATATATATATATATATATATATGAGCCTAATCAAATGAGAACTAATTAGTTTGTGGTAACTGTGAGAACCAATATTAACCACAAATCAATAGATAAATTAGGAAATTTAT